CATTTTGACAATCACATACATTGTCTATCATTGTACATAAATCATCCAGATAAGCAGAGTTTGCATTGGGTGGACGGTAACAGCAACAAACCAGTAAGGGCTTTAAATAGGGAATATGGACTTGAAGCCATAATGCTTCAATATTGGGTAATGTTAGATCCATTCTTATTTTTACAGGTATTTGCTCTTGTATATAGAGAGCAACTCCGCCACCCTTTGCATTTCTGTCCGTGATGGACGGACGCAGAGACCTGAGCGCTGAGACTGCAGGAGACGATGACAGCCGCCGCGGGCTCTTCACCGCCGCGGAATCGTCAGAAAGAAGACATTATATCTGTAATTACGAGCTGGATGGAACGATCTGGAACTGCTTCTACTGCTACTATAGTGGCTATTGTGTGCCATGGTTATTGCCACATTCTCAACTCCTACAAAACGTAGAGGTCCAGACGTGTACATACCTGGAGGTGGTTTAAATGTTCTATAAACATTTTCAGATCAATATTGAAATAATACTCTCAAAGACTTTAATAAGTTTCTGTTTGTTAGTAATTTTTAGTAAGTAGAAAGCCATTTTTATTGTACTTTTTTCTGTTTAGAAAATATAGATTTGAGCGAACCCTACTGTGGATTATGTGACAATTATTAATATCTCATTTCATTTTTCATATTTCATTTAGCTGATTATTGAAACAGTCGTGTGCTCGGTGTTCCATCCATTCATTTTCTTCCCCTTAATCCATTTCTGGGTCGGGGTGACACTCAGAGCTGCACCCAGAGCACCGGCCCCTGACTGATCCTCCTGCAGGGGTTCCAGGCAAAGTGGGGTTAAGTGTCTTGCCTAAGGACACGACAACAGCAGACGTCAGTGGGAGTCGATGGAGAAGGTCTCATGCTGGGCTCGAACACACAACCTACAGGCTCAAAGGCCAATGCTCTATCACTGCCGCCCTCTGCTTGGTGTTTTTAATTGTAATTCATGTTTGGCTTCAATAAGTGTTTCTCTTCAGCCAAAACTCTTTCAGTCATTTGTTTATGCTCTGTAGACACTGTAGTCTGAGTGAAGAGACTGAAATAAATAAACAAACTAACAATGAATATAGAGATTAAGATTGATTGATCCTAATCTCAATCTTAATCTCTATATGAATAGTTAGTTTTGTTTGTAGCTCCTTTCACAGACCAAAAAGCGCTTAAGGTAAAGGTAGTGGTGCACTTTATTGATGCCCGTAGGACAATTCATCTTCTGCATTTGACCCAGATCCTGTTGCCACCTAGGCTTAAATCAGGAGCAGTAGTCGCCGTAGTAACAGCGCTCGGGAATCCATCTCCAGATGTTGATGCTCGGCTTGGTCAGGACCAGAGCTGGAGGATTTAACCTAGTGTGCATGTTTTTAGTGGTAGGGGAAACTGGAGTACCTGGAGGAAACCTAGGCAAGCACGAAGAAAACAAACAAACTCCACTCAGAGAGACCCCGTTCCGACAAGGATTCGAACCCAGGACTTTCTTACTGAGAGGCGAGAGTGCCTCAGCCAAGGTGCTGCCCCTCGCTTAGTTTAGTTACTATTGTTGTGTTCAGCTGGAAGATGGTGACCCTGTATGCATGCCAGAACGTTTGCACATGTTTATAGTGATTTGGGAAACCGTAGCACCTGGAGGAAACCCACCCAGACACAGGAGAAACATGCAAACCCTGCACAGAAAGGCCCTGTATGGACTAACTTACTGCCACTGTCTTACTTACTTACTTACTCTTTTTCTTTTTTATGCCAGCTCACCCTGTTTTACCCCACGCACAAAAGCAGGACTTTTCTATATAATAATTTTCCGCTATAATACTACTGTACCCTTACAAAAACGACCCAATTAAAACTATCTGTACTTAAAGACATGCAAAGTAGTCTTAACCCACAGTAATAAAGGCGTCTTGTCTCGCGGGGACTGCATAAGACGTTAGTGTTTCAGATCAGGCGCAGATTAAAAAACAGGCACATTCGGGGCTGCACTTTTAATTAAACTCGGAGTAACGACGTGACACTTTTTCCCGGAAACTAATTAAAAGCATTTAGTGACTGTGGGCTACTGGTCCCAGCTCCTCAACTGGGACGCAGCTTATTTAAAGGGCCTTAGACGGATTAATGTAGACAGGTAAGAGGGAAGGGGAATGATAATGAAGAAACAAAAGCAGAACAGGGACAACTCAATGTTTTTAGAAGTTTGCAGATTAATGAGGTGCCGTACGCTAGGAGTAAAAGACTTGAAATATGTGGAGTAGGTTGGTCCAGCCACAGTACGACTCTAAACTACTAATGTTTTACTATAAATGAAAGATGTATACTTCTATACGCCACAAGTTATTTTGATATCTTGAATACTATCCATGCACCGAGTCAAGTCTCTATGGTGGAGTCTAAAACAGAAAAGTCATTCTAATCAAGGTATGTATATAGAACATTTTCTTTTCACATTATTTTGACCAATTATGTGGAATATTTCCCAGCACACCAAACACTGTCTCAAGGCACACTACTCTACACGGCCCATTGGTTGAAAAACACTGGGATAGACCACTGTCCTTAGACCCTTCTGCATCGACAAGAAATAACTCTAAAAACCCAGTGGGAGAAAATGAGAAACATAGTTATTTCTTGACAGCAGTGAATAGATAACCGCTAACAACAAAACCACAGCAAAGTGATGGAGGGACGGAGAACTTTGGGGCTTGGATCTATTTGGGAAAAGAGAGGGACAGGGTTGGATGAAGGGTGATGTTGGTCCTAGTCTAGTTATTGATCAGACAGATTCTTAATTGATCCCCAATTGGAGAAATTCAGGTGTCCAGTAGCAGCAAATTTAAAACAAATAAAATGGATCATTCTAAAAAGCTATCGATAGTAATAATCAGCAACACCCTTCAGGTCACAGCAGCAGAGATGGAGTAACCGCTGGGTGGAGCAGGACGGGTCCAAGCGGCATTTTCTCTGCTCTGGTCTAAAGTAAAATGCTGCATACTTCATTAGCATTTTTCAAAAAGTTAGCATTCCTCCAGTGGATTTTTGCGTGATCCGCTTAGTTTGGAACATGGATCCTCTCTGCTCTGGTCTGGACCGGACCAGTGTAAAACCATGAACCCTCTCTGCTCTGGTCTTGACCAGTGTAAAACCATGAATCCTCTCTGCTCTGGTCTGGACCAGTGTAAAACCATGAATCCTGTCTGCTCTGGTCTGGACCAGTGTAAAACCATGAATCCTCTCTGCTCTGGTCTGGACCAGTGTAAAACCATGAATCCTGTCTGCTCTGGTCTGGACCAGTGTAAAACCATGAATCCTCTCTGCTCTGGGCGGGACCAGTGTAAAACCATGAATCCTGTCTGCTCTGGTCTGGACCAGTGTAAAACCATGAACACTGTACTGAACCAAACCGAGCATCAGACTTCTGTGTTGAGCACTTCTTCCGCACATAATCAGCACAGATGGAGAATGGCGCCTGTGCACACATCCACCACGGTCCATACACTGTAGAAACAATGAACACTGGATTTGTACTTCATGGAAAGGACAGAGACCCCAAACGCTTTTACAGACCAATATTTTTTGCAATTTCATACATCTTTGGTTATTTTTTGCACACAAACCGGAGCTTAGCCCAGAATAAGCTGACAACTTACACTGCTAATGTAGACTTTGCATCCCTGAAGGCCATTTGCGCAGAGAAATGCTAATTGCAGAAATTGATTTAGAATACATCCGCTAAACATTACTTATTAAAACAACAACAGCGTCTCGATACATTCATTTGTAAGGTCATTAGTCGCATACGATCAAACCGGGGCAGTCTTCCATGCTCACGCTCCCGTTCATTTGCAAAGTCATTAAAGCGTAAACGTCACTGAGTCCGGCTGTAATTACTGTGTGGGTAGAATCATAAGGTTTACATGCGGCTTTAAGGTACACGGCTAATGCACAATAATGTCCACCGTGCTCCAAACGCACAACGCCAGCTCATGCACGATTAATTAAGTGGGGGTCAGCGGAGGGAAAGTCGCGTGGTTCTGGGAGCAGGACAAAATGGATGATAGGAGTTATAAGGGCCTCATTTGTTGATTTGTTTTAGTAGTTTATTTGACAAGGACATTGTGCATTAAAGTAGCAATATGTAATCATCATTAAAGGGCCTTTATCTGTCCAAAGGCATTAATAAAACATGTTTTTTTCAAATACTTCTCTAACTGATAACAGTAGTGAATTTCTAAATTAGTTTTCCAGCCTCTAAATCTTGTTATTGTTTTCATTTCGATGTCCCGCCCTCCACCGTCTCACCAATCTCTATCACCAGTCCATGATTTGGATTGTCAGAACTCACCGCGTGGAGCTAATGTCACTGGTAAAGTACCATGTGGCCGCAGAACTAAAAAAGGTCTTGTTATGAATCTCAAATCATTAACGACAAAACAAGGAATAAAACCAGGATTTCTATCTTTGTGAAAAAGGTGTTGGAACTTTGGAAGCTCAAGTACTGTCATGAACCAGCAAGTACCATCACATTAGTCCAGTTCTCAGGTCTCTGCACTGGTTCCTGTGGCTCAGAGAATAGACTTAAAGCAGCTCTGATTGTTACAAGTCTCTCCATGGCCTCTCACCAAAGTACCTCTGTGTTAGTGCCATATGAACCAACTGGGACTCTGAGGAGCACAGGTACTGGCCTTCTGCTGGTGCCTAGAGTCTCTGGCAATTTTCAAATCCAGGTTAAAGACAGTTCAATCTGGAAAGACTCGAGATGGAGATTGCATTAGAATATTTATTGTCAAGATGCATAGACACCAGGAGGCTTAGATTGAGTACTAGTATATTTATTGATAAGCTTTGGCGATCAGACCCTGGCAGTAAAACTGCATGACATATGCATAGGGGAGTTTAATAGAATTTCTGAGCTTGCACCCCCGGGGCCTAGACCCTGGTGGCAAAGAAGCTGAGCCGAAGACATGATACGTTACGATACTTCACTGAAGAGGCGGTGATGGGGAGGAGGTGGGTTGCTGCTCAAACAGCAGCTTGAGCTGCAGAGAGCTGAGAGGCTCTGTATACATGCCTTCATGAAGTGATGAGCTCAGGTGAGCAGCTGAGGCTGATGTTGAGATCAGAGCAGGTGTGGAGAGGGAGGAGTCCAGTGTGTAGAGGGAGGAGTCCAGTGTGTGGAGAGGGAGGATTCCAGTGTGTGGAGAGGGAGGAGTCCAGTGTGTGGAGAGGGAGGAGTCCAGTGTGTGGAGAGGGAGGAGTCCAGTGTGTGGAGAGGGAGGAGTCCAGTGTGTGGAGAGGGAGGATTCCAGTGTGTGGAGAGGGAGGAGTCCAGTGTGTGGAGAGGGAGGAGTCCAGTGTGTGGAGAGGGAGGATTCCAGTGTGTGGAGAGGGAGGATTCCAGTGTGTGGAGAGGGAGGAGTCCAGTGTGTAGAGGGAGGAGTCCAGTGTGTAGAGGGAGGAGTCCAGTGTGTGGAGAGGGAGGAGTCCAGTGTGTGGAGAGGGAGGAGTCCAGTGTGTAGAGGGAGGAGTCCAGTGTGTGGAGAGGGAGGATTCCAGTGTGTGGAGAGGGAGGAGTCCAGTGTGTGGAGAGGGAGGAGTCCAGTGTGTAGAGGGAGGAGTCCAGTGTGTGGAGAGGGAGGAGTCCAGTGTGTGGAGAGGGAGGAGTCCAGTGTGTGGAGAGGGAGGAGTCCAGTGTGGAGAGGGAGGAGTCCAGTGTGTAGAGGGAGGAGTCCAGTGTGTAGAGGGAGGAGTCCAGTGTGTGGAGAGGGAGGATTCCAGTGTGTGGAGAGGGAGGAGTCCAGTGTGTAGAGGGAGGAGTCCAGTGTGTAGAGGGAGGAGTCCAGTGTGGAGAGGGAGGAGTCCAGTGTGTGGAGAGGGAGGAGTCCAGTGTGTAGAGGGGAGTCCAGTGTGCGGAGGGAGGAGTCCAGTGTGCAGAGGGAGGAGTTCAGTGTGCAGAGGGAGGAGTCCAGTGTGTAGAGGGAGGAGTCCAGTGTGTAGAGGGAGGAGTCCAGTGTGTAGAGGGAGGAGTCCAGTGTGTAGAGGGAGGAGTCCAGTGTGTAGAGGGAGGAGTCCAGTGTGGCAGCATGACGTCTCTTTGGTCTTCCATTCTGAATTTGCGCTTAAGCTTAATTTCTGTTTAGCTCTGCATACAACTGACGGATGTTACCTTAACTCTTTTTTATGTACAGTGATTATGTATGCCTTGTGTATGAACTGTGCTATACTAATAACCTTGCCTTGCCTGGACGTTTACGTTTGAAGTGCTGCAGACTTTCTTTTCCTGCTCATATGCAAAGTTATGATAGAACAGCAGACAGTTTTGAGAAAGGGTTGGATGAAGACAAACACAAGAGAAAAATGCCATAACCTCGGACTTAAAACAAAGACAGGTACTTTGGAACAAAAATGAGAATGAGTGGACGTCCAGGAGCAGCAAAGAGAGACAAGGGACTCATGTGTGAATGAAGGCCACACATTACCACATTGTGTAACCAACGTCGCCACAACGGCCAAATATCTGAAGTTCCCTGACGACAGTGTTGGATCATGATCACAAACATTTAGCTCTGTTAAACGTCTCCTTTAATAGTGGAAAATATGACATGGCAGTGTTGAAAACCTTTGTTCTTCAGCAACTCGCAGGACTTAGCGTCTCTATATTTATCTCTCAAACATGCAGCAGTCCACCATGTGCTTCTATCTTTGAATTAGTCACAAAAACACAATTAGAGCAATGTCGCCCTGATTCCAGAGGTTATCGGGGTCAGCGTTTTGTCAGTCAAAACTCAATTACATTTTAATAATCTTTGCATTGTGTTTTGAGGTCAAGGAGGACTTTTCAGGAACTTAATCGTCTTTAGATTTATTCATCTTAAATCTGGAACACGGCTTTCACTTTGTCAATTAAAGTAGGAAAAGATTGACAATATACAGTTTTGGCGAAGTTTTAAACAAGCAGATCAGTCTCAGATTTGATGATTCTACTGCGACTCAGTGACATAGAAAATAAAAGTCTCAGTCTGAAAAAGCAGCGGATGAACATTAACACATCATCAGGAAATTACTTGATTTAAAAAGGAATCATAAAAAAAAAAAAAAATCAAACAAAATTGTAATGACCCTGAAAAATGTGGAACGGACATGATGGTTTCCCTAATTTCCGTAAAAAATTCAACTTGAGAAAAAAAAAGGGTCTGGTTTCACAATTAATGGGTTTACTATATGAAAGTCATCACTTTGTTTCTACTTTGTGATATATTGGCGTAAACAAGCTTGTTATTGGGTACAGTCATTATTTATCATTGAATATTTGCATTTTCAACAATACATAATGACAATGAATAATACAAATTGAAATATTAAGTATATTATTTGATTTGTTAATTTCTAAATCCTTTGGCGAGCTACTGTATCTATAAGGGGTTGACGAGCTACTGGTTGGAGACCCCTGATGTAGAGTGTGAAGAGAATCGGTCCGAGTACTGATCCTTGTGGCACACCAAAATCTACTTCGAAACAGGGCGAGGAGTTTTGTTCACATTACCAAATTGTTGCCGATCTGATTAGTAGTATTTAAACCAGCCATAACTTGTTCTTCTGACACCTACCGTACGTCACAATCTCTGCAGTAGAACGTTGTGGCTCTAACCGCTGCGACACCGTGGCGCCCAATGCCTCTTTGTCTCACGGTTAAAATCTCAACCACGCTTTTTGTCCCTCTTCCATTATGAAACATATTGTTCACTTCTAGCGCGGGTTCATAATCCACATCACATTAGCGCAGACGTCCTGTTGATCCGGAGATGTGCCTCGGTGGGGGACGGCTAATGAACACACCGTGCTCAGATGTACTTCCTGTGACGCCGGGGCTGATGGGATACGCGGTCAGGAAGGGGGAAGACGATGCGGTCGGGTTTATGGGGCGTGGAGATGGAGCAGACGTCGTCATGAGCACTAATGTACAGAGGCACAGTGTGTGGATGGGAGACGGAAGACATGGAACACACTGGGATTTAGTTTAAAGGCCGAATATGCAGTATTCTTACACATTTTCTACAGAGGTAATAAGTATTCTCTATAGCCATTACCAGCATGAGGTATTATTCCTTTTACTCTGCACACACAATGGTAGAGGAAACCGGAGTACCTGGAGGAAACCGGGAGAACATGCAAACTCCACACAGAAAAGCCTAGGCCATGCCATTCAATGTTATATTTTGTCCTTAAGATTCATAAGTACTGTAGTTCCCAATATTTCATTTTACAGAGTTTTTATTTTGATAAAAAAATTCATTCAAGTCATAATTTGGAATTTTCTATTGGGATCAGATCAACACAGAAGACTAGATTTGTTTCGGTCAATATAGATTTTTTAAAGTAGCATTATGTAAGATGTTCATGTCGAGTCATCATTAAAGGGCCTTAATCTGTCAAAAGAAATGAAATAAAGCCTGCACTTTTCCAATACTTCTTTAACTGATAACAGTAGTTCAGAGATATTTGAATTTCAACATTAGTTTTACAGCCTCTAAATGTTTTACCAATCAGAAAGTCTGTGATCCAGGCGCCAGAACTCACCGCGTCGACCTATTCTCACTGGTTAAGTTCCATGCGGCCGCAGAACTAGTAATAATTCTCAAATCATTAATGAAATAACAGGAATAAAACCAGGATCTTTGTGAAAAAAGGTGTCGAAAACTCCACAGAGAAAGACCTGGAGGTGGAATCGAACCCAGGAGCTCGAGCTGCTGTGCTATTATATGAGAAATGTTATGTGGAAAGAGAGTTGATCCGGCATAATGAGTATTTAATCATATTTTGAGTGGTTAGAACTAGCCTGTAACACGTCGATCGTCAACTTGAGGGTTTTAAACTTCTTGTAAACAAAGAAAAGTACACAGTCTCTACTTTAGGCCGTTTCCACCATCAAACACACTCGCGCCTTTGTTTCATATTTAAGTTCCTGTGTTCCCTCCCGGCTTCTTCTTTTGACTCACAAGACTGACTGAAGCCGTTTGATTCCGGCTAAAAGCGTTACAATGAAAACAGCCCCAAAAACTTTCAAACGGCAGATAAAAGGCTGAACAAGAGAGGAGCTAAACGCGGCTAAAACAATGAGACCACGGGGACGGGCCGCGGAACCACAGACTGCAATTAAAGACGGTATTTAACGATAGCGGTTGATAGGCTTCTTCACACGCCGGCTAATCGGAACGCCACCATACTCCCAGCCGGCAGAGGAACATGAAAGACACGTGTTTGGGAAGTGGAGAAAACTAACATTTGGTAAAAGTGGTAAAAGAGTCGACTAATGGATTGTTCCCGCATCCAAAAAAACTGCTTGTTTTTTTTAGTACCGTCCACTTATTTTAGGAACGTTTGGAACAAATGGAGAAGAAAATACATGTTGTTTTGTTGAAATGGGTTGTGAGATGACGTGGCCATACGTGCAAGTGAAATCCAGATCCTGTCAGGCCGCTGAAGCTGTGCAGGGCAGGGCCTTGTTAGTACTGTGATGGGAGACCTCTGGGAAAACAGCAGGTGCCACAGTGGGGCGGCTGTAAAGTGCTGAACTGTTGTTGTGTCCTTAAGCAAGACACTTCACCCACATCAGAATCAGTCTGGTGTGTGCGTGAATGGGTGGTGGTGGGAGGGGCTGATGGCATCGATGGTTGCCTCGCTTCTGTCAGTTTGCCCCAGGGCAGCTCATAGTAGTAATTTATCACCACTGTGTCATAATAAGCGCTATATAAAACCAATGTATTATTATTATTGTCATTATGACGTCCAGGCCTATTGAGATTCTAAATTAAAATAAAATTATTATCTCCAAACGACATTTGGGAGTTTCTTCTAAAAAACATATCTTTTTTCCCTTTAAGTTTTATGTTTTAATGCTTCAGGATGCACACTTTACATCTATAGTTTTAACAATGCATCTAACACATAATGAATATCACGCACACACTCGGGCGACAGTGGCTCAGTTGGCAGAGCATTGGCCTTTGAGCCTGAAGGTTGTGGGTTCGAGCCCTCCTTGGAACTTTCTCCACCGACTCCCTCTGATGTCTGCTGTCGAGTCCTTGGGCAACACACTTGACCCCACATTGCCTGAAGCCCCCACTGAAAAATCAAGGCTATATCGTCACTGACAGAGCAGCCATCTTCCTGTGGACTCAGTGAGGGGCTGGAGCTCTGTGAATTGGGTGCAGTGCTGACTTCCACCTCCCCTGACCCAGAAATGGATTAATGGGGAGACGATGGATGGATGGATGTAAACACTCCAACACATACATATACTGTGTACGTGGATACATAAATATAATTCAGTGCTTTTCAACATTGTCAATCAAATGTTCATTCCGGGACATCTGCAGTGTCTATCAGTGGCCGCAGGGCCTTCTCCGTGACCTAAACATCATCTTTTCCACATATATGTTTTATATTATTCCCCATGTTTCTATGCTCTTCATTTCATAGATTTCCTAAGTTGGTTGCACAGATTCCAGCCCCGGGTCAAGTTTTGAAGGGCTGGTTATTATCCAATCTTTATTCAGTGTCATGTGTTGTCAGGATAAAAATCTGATTTTACTGTAGGTCTTTAGAAGCAACAGCGCTGCTTACAATGAATGAAAACAAACATGTGGCCTTAACCAATCAGTTTCAAGTTGGCTTCACCGAGGGTCCGCGAGCAGCCGAACAGAGTAAAGCAGAGGGCCAGAGTTTTACCAGACAGTCTCCTCCTTAAATCAGTTTCAGATTCATTTAGTTGCCATTTGCAGTAAAACCACATTGGAATACATTTGCAAAAGTCCCCAGTGTGCACAAGTACATAAATAAAACAAGGTTAAAAGAACATAAATAAAACAGGAAACTACTGACACTCCTAAATCGTTTGATTAAAACAGTTTCAGTACAAAGGCAAGATCATTAAAGTGCTTTGTTAGCCAAATGAGATGTCCTCCATTTCAACGTACAATATCTGCCTGAAGGGATGAAGCTGGAACATGGCTTTTCCAGAGGCCAGAAGATTCCAGAAGTCATTGATTATTATTATTAATATTAATTATGAATGGCCGGCCACCAGTTGGTGATCAGTGGCGTAATGAGACACGTCAATGTGGTAAACTTTGTAATTGTGTGCGCAATAAGATGTTTTAGTTTTTCAACCAACAATGGCAGAAGTTGTATATCTGCAGTACAAGTTGTATATCTGCAGTACAAGTTGCATATCTGCAGCACAAGTGTATATCTGCAGTACAAGTATTATATCTGCAGTACAAGTGGCATATCTGCAGTACAATTTACATATCTGCAGTACAAGTTGCGTATGAGTCAGTACAAGTTGTATATCTGCAGTACAAGTTGTATATCTGCAGAACAAGTTGTATATCAGCAGAACAAGTTGTATATCTGCAGTACACGTTGTATATCTGCAGTACAAGTTTTATATCTGCAGTACAAGTTGTATATCTGCAGAACAAGTTGTATATCTGCAGTACAAGTTGTATATCTACAGTACAAGTTGTGTATGAGTCAGTACTAGTGGTATATCTGCAGTACAAGTGGTATGTATATGTGCAGTTATAGTGGTATATCTGCATTACAAGTTGCGTATGAGTCAGTACAAGTTGTATATCTGCAGAACAAGTTGTATATCTGCAGAACAAGTTGTATATCTGCAGTACAAGTTTTATATCTGCAGTACAAGTTGTATATTTGCAGTACAAGTTGTATATCTGCAGTACAAGTTGTATATCTGCAGTACAAGTTGTATATCTGCAGTACAAGTTGTATATCTGCAGTACAAGTTGTATATCTGCAAAACAAGTTGTATATCTGCAGTACAAGTTGTATATCTGCAGTACAAGTTGTATATCTGCAAAACAAGTTGTATATCTGCAGTACAAGTTGTATATCTGCAGTACAAGTTGTATATCTGCAGTACAAGTTGTATATCTGCAGTACAAGTTGCATACGTGTCAGTCCTGTCCTGCTACACTGTCAGTCACAGAGGAAGACCATGGACCGGAGCTGAGTCCGGGTTTTCCCAAAGGAAGTCTCTCTCGGCTCAGAGTGTGCGTCGGTCTCCACAGATAAACGTATCTGCAGAACTCAGCAGGACTTTATTAAAAATGTGAGATATGAGATCGTAATCGCGGTTCTGGCCATTGCTGCTCGGAAAATATTTAATGTAAAGATGTGGAGGATTCAGCCCCAAAGTCTCCCATAATAACTTAACTCTGGGATCTGCTCATTGGAAATAAATTAGTTTGAGTTGTTTTGGGAAGTATTGTTTTTAAAAGAGACGTATTATGCAAATGTTCTGTGTTTAACCGTGTTACACCAACGTCCTCTCATCCAAACCAGTCGAACAGTTGCTTTTCATTCCATGCCACAAACAGGAACTAACGAACACTCTGTATCTACACAGTTTGAACAGAGCGGGTTAGATATATACAGTATATATTAATTATGTGACTTGGACCGTACGCGCGCTCTGATTGGCTGATTTGCGGTCTGATATTTTCCCATCTCGGACCGTTACCATGACAATCGATCCGCAGCACGCATCACATTTGATATCTTTCCTCGGTAAAAAGAAAGAAATAATGGGCGACGACTGGGAGCATTCTCAGTGAATTCTTTTATCAGGACGAGTTGGAAGAGCCAGAGGAAGTGATAACAGCAAATAACGACAAAAACACAACTCCTAACAGTCAAGAAGTGATTGACAACTTCGTCACAGACCAGAAAGGTAAAAACAGGATTAGGAAAACCAAGTCGGAGATCGTTAATGGCATAAATTAACAATAGTCATATACTAAAACGTGTATTAACCTCGCTTGCTCGGTCTGTACAGAGAAATATCAGACCTTGGTCTTTTAGCATACTGTACGTTAAGGCCGCGGTCAGACCTCGCACTCGTTTAATAAGCCGTTAATATGTATATATTTTTTTGCTTTTTTATACTTTTCCAGTTTTTATCAAATCTGCG